TGATCAGCGGTAGTGCTCGAGGATGTGGTGGGTTTGCTGCTTCCATAGGGTTCTTCACACAAAACACCACATGTATATTGTGACAGCAATGTGACATGGCAGTGTGGCCCGCCACTGAATACGGCAATTGCCCCTTGTCATATTCCATCTACCCGAATACGTCTTCCATAGAAGGCGAATGAACGGCCGATCGGTCACCCGCTTATCCGGAACAATACTGCTGCCTTGTAGCTCGCGCTTGGTTGCGTTAAGGCTAGAGTGTATCCTAAAACAAGGCCTACTCTGGTCTCGGTGACCGCGTAGTACATCAGCCCATAATACAAAAAATGAATCTCATCTTGATCATTAATTTGCGCTATCAGTCTTCCTCTCACGTAAAACCGCTTTACAACATGCACATCTTCCTTTTTTCAGTTTTTCCTCTACCTCTCAAACATTCTCATTGCCATCAAAATCTTCAGACAGTTGTATTATCAGTTGGGCTCCGATGGAAATTCCCTCTCTATTCTCTCGCGTACTGCTTCGAATAACGTCCAAGTCTCACGGAAGCTTTTTCCGCAAGTTGAAACTCTTCTTCTTCCTCGATGCCCATTCAACCTAACCACATTTAACGTGCGTACCTTGTGGCATATAGAACAGCAGGTGTGTTGAGTTCGTACCCTCGAGACCCTAGCCATCGATGTAGGTTGCATCCAAGAAACTCGCACTCAAGACTCTAGCTCCGCCATCCGATTGATGTTCCCGTCAAACCTATCCGCGAAGTTTCACGTGTGTATTTCTGGGGACCCTGGAGCTGTGGCTTCTGGTCTTGCTGGCTTTGGCGTGGCTCTTAGCGAGAGATCTGAAGCCGCCCTAAAATATTGGATCGCATTCGACCGTAGAATGTGCGTAGTGAGACTCCGAGGCTCGTGCAAAGTAAGTAGTCGTCGCTTCAAAAGACACAACATGTTTGTCGTTTCAGCATACGCACCCACCAACCGTGGCTCAGATACAGTCTAAGATACTCTCTATCCAAAGCCACGCGACCTCTTGCATAAGGCGAATTGCGCTGATATCGTGATTTCAGCAGGAGAAATGAATGCCAGCATAGGCCGACTGAATTCGAGCGACGCGCATCTGGGTGGTCCTTTCGGAATAGATTCCTGTCGCTCGGAAAACGTGGAACGACTGTTGGCTCTGTATTCCGAACACCGCCTGTTTCTCGCCAGTACTAACTTCAGACGCTCCAACTACCGGTATGCCACTT